TAGATACCTGCTGCTTAGCCTATAGCCTTTTTGTGTAGCCCTCAAGACCCCTGAAGACAGTAGCCTTTCCATATTACCCTGCAAAAGATTTTATCTCTAACAGTCTTATGTCATGTATACACAGTCTATGTTAATTTCCTGAAGCACTAGACCATTATTCCACATTTTTAAGGACTCTCTAATGACTGGTAGAGCCCTCTGACTGGCGGAGGGTTACGGTAGTTCCAATATTTAAAAAGGGGGCAAGATGTCAACCTGGGAATTACCGACGTAGTGGGCAACTATGTGGCAGATTAATGTCGATAAATGCAAAGTTATGCACTTTGGGAGCAAAAAATAGGCAAATGGGTTATACAAATATGGGTATGCCGCTAGGGAAGTCGGAAATGGAGAAGGATTTGGGGGTCATTGTAGACCATAAACTGAATAGATTACAGTGCCAGGTTGCTGTAAGCAAAGCTAGTAGAATCCTGTCCTGCATCAAGAAGGGAATATTTTGCAGGGATAGGTCTATAATTTTGCCACTTCACACATAAATGGTTCGGCCCCACCTGGAGTATGCGGTGCAGTTTTGGGCACCGGTACACAGAAAGGATGTCCTTGAACTGGAGAAAGTCCAGCGGAGGGTGACCAAACTCATCAAGGGGATGGAGGACCAGAACTATGAGACACGGCTACTAAATTTAAACATGTTTATGTTGGAAGTAAGGAGATTAAGGGGGGACATGATTTTCATGAAAATGTTCAATAGTCATAGCAACATTAGCAACAAACTCGAAGATTAATTCCGTAACAAAGACTAGAGAACTGGTAAACTAAAACTGGTAGAAAATAAATTCAAACACAAGGGGCGAAAGGGGTTCTTCTCAGTTCACGCGGTTATGGTCTGGAACTCGCTGCCTCAAGCAGTGATTTCCGTGAATAATCTGGAATCATTCAAGAAGCTTTTGGACGACTTCCTGAGAGACCGTAATGTACAAGGGTACAGGTACTCTTAAGAATGAGAACACTCATGGACTAGTCTCCTCCAACAACTCATTTAGTGTGTTTGTAGTCTCTGATGGTCTCTTGTGGCAAGTATACATTTTCTGACCATTTCCTGCAACATGTCTACACTCTCTGACCATTTCTAGTACCAGGTCTATACTCTCTGACCATCTCTAGCGATACGTCTACACTCTTTGACCATTTCTAGTACCATAGCCACACTCTGACCATCTCCTATGGCAGGTCTACACCCTCTGACCACTGGCTGAACTATCAGGGTTGCAGAAGTTGCATGTGCCACTTAAGGGGGAGGGGGGCAGAAAGGAAAAAAAGAGGACAGATCCCCTCCTGATTGGACCGTGTGAAAGGGGCCTTAGGGACTTCTATAAATATGTAGTCAGTGGGCAGGGGGAACCCCACTCTTCCTTCTCTAATGTATGAGAGACCTCGCCATAGTACCGATTGTGTTATGATAATCCATGGGTCGTAAAGCAGCATGTGAATATACAATTGTAGCTATAGGCAATACAGGTGCATAAGTGAAGGAGCACTTGAGATAGGGTAACACACCAGAGGCTATTTAGTAAGCATGCTTTTTATTAAAATGGTACAGTCTAACAAAAACATCCTTAACCATTATATTGCACTGACCCCTCCTACCCTGTAGTGCTATATCTAATGCTTTTGCACAAACAAGTGAACAATCTCCCTATATGAATGATGTTACATATTTAATGCAGTGGCCCTTGAATGTGCTAAACACCCAAACTTTCAAATCCAAATTGCTATTTGCTACATGCCTTACAAAACAACTAAATCATGTCAAAAGCTCATATTTACAACCATATCCTTGCTTTTTAAAATGACTAAGGGATTTATTTGAAAAGCAGCACTAGAGCCTTACTGGGTCCATACAAAAAAAAAAGAAGAAATTTGTTACCAATACTTACTGTAATTTATCTTTCCTGACCAATCTCCATGGTATTACACAAGGGTTGACTTTGTATCCTGCTTATGCTATCCAGGAAATGTATCTATAAATGGTCATAAAAGAAAAAGTACGTTAAGTATTGGTAATCCATTTTCTGTTTCCTGATATCTCCTTGGCATCACACGTGGGAAATAACAACTACAAATTGGGTGGGATGCAAAAAAATTGATTTTTTTTTTTAGAAGCAGCATACAATATTTTTTTTTGCCCCAAATCAACATTAGAGAGGGTCAAATCTACATGGTGCTAAGACAGGAAAGCGTTAGGCAATGACCATGTTTTGACGCCTTGAGGAGTAAAGTCCCTGATACACAGTTGACTAGCTGCTATGGGCAGCAAATGAAATAAATGTTCTCTATAACTAGACAACCAGGACATATAATTGATTCTATATTATCCACAAAGGGTTAACAGCACTCTCTCAACCCTGCAGCAGTGTCTGTACCTGCTCTCAATAGTAGTCTATGTCCACCCTCTGTGTAGCAAGTAGCTTCTTCCTTCTGAGAGCCTATCTTCGTTCTGAGGCTACTCTAGGGATCACATGACCTTCCTCCAGGAGGCAAGCCTCACTCTGAAACCTTACCCCCTGATATCTTACCGGAAAGGTTTACTCAGAGTACAGCTTTCAGGGAGAAAATGCCTCTCTCGCGGACGTCAGGGAGCCGCTATTAGAGGGAGACTCCCTGAACATCAGGGAGACTTGAGATCCCTGCCTTGCAGATAGTCCTGATGGACCCCATCTATCCATCTAACCATCAATGATGAGGGCATACTACACATTTAGTGTGCGGTCCCCTTCTGGAGTTGAAGGAGGATTTGCCTTAGGTCTGGCCTTGGTGATACCTATGGAAAGTGTTCTCAGGGAAGCCTCCTCTCCCTTTGTTTTCCCTCTAGGAATCATAAACAGCTGTACTGACTTTCTTAAATTCACAATAGCTTGCAGGTAAGCTTTCAGGACTGTGTCCACATCGAGCAGAACAACTTGGCTGTTTTCCGAGGTGGCAAAAGGCAGGAGGACTAGTTCCCGATTGACTTGCAAGATGGTACTTGGTGACTGACTGATACTGTACCAGGCAAAGCAGACAGTAAGTGGCAGTGGCTGCAGAGACAAGAGCAAGCATATTAACTCCAAACTGGAGAGTAATCCATGTAAACCACATGATCCGTGGTATGATAATCATGGCAGTCACAAATGGGCCTTTAGCCGGCTCAGTACCTTGAAATTAGCTAAATTTAGGAGACCCTATTCAGGGGCATAGGATCTAAAGCCACGTATACACGTCTATTATTTTTTGTTCAACCCCCAGGCTGAACCAAAAAAATAGAACAGATTCCTCCATCAATGCTTATGAGATTCTGCCATCAATGCATTGATGGAACAATGCATCAAAAACACACAAACACTACAGGCTTGTTCACACCATGCTCGGACCATGCATTTTTGATGCAATCCCATACCAGTAAAAATGAGACAAGCTGTATTTTTTTTTGGTTTGGACTGGAACGGACTGCACTGGTGTAAACAGAGCTCAGAAATGCCATAGGGATACATTGGTTTTACTTATTTGTTTGGGGAACAACCTGTTCTGGTCTGGACATGATGTGAACATGAAGACTCACAAGTGTGAACTGAGTATTTCTCTTTTTAGAGACATTTCCCTAGAACTTCTCTAAATACATTGACAAATATTGTGCCGTTATGTTATCAGCAGCAGAGTTAAAGCACTACAAAGAAATGACAAATACAGGAAAACATTACTCTCTGGATGCCATGTAGTCCTCCAGCAAGCATACAAAGTTACAGCACTCCTCCTGCCTGCCTAATAGCTGGCTCCTCGTTCCCTTCACTTGTAAAGAATGACAAGTCACGGCAGGTTTGGAAGGCTGGGAACATCTGAAGAATGATAAGCTGGCAAACTCCACAGCCTGCCGCATCATGTCAATGGCGGACATTGTCCCATGTGTAGCATAGCCCAGTGCCCACCATGCTGTCAGATGCGGCCCCCAGCTAGACTGGAACACTGACCATTAGCTCATGTGCGAGTTTTAAAGGCTAGTTGCCACGTGACTTTGTTTTGCTGCGATTAGTCACTTTTAATTAGCTGCGCGACCCGTCAATCACAGGCGGAGGGCGTTCCCAGGTGTGCACCAGGAGGCGTCAGAGTCCTGCACGTAGCCACGCCCCTCCAGTGTTTGGGCGTGACCTGTACAGGTGAGGGAAGGAGGGAGCTGAGTGCAGTCACTTCAGGAAGAAGCTTACCGTATACCGGAGATATGTCTGCTCCTTCATTTGTAGTGTAGGCACAGGTAGACGGGTAGTGTATGGCAGTGTAGAACACAGGGGTGCAGGTACATTAGTGACACGCATTGTACACACACCTGGAAGAGTCATTGCACAGGTGAGTGGGTGGTTGTGTGAGAGGCTGACACACTGTATGACTGGCAGTGTCTGTATGCAGAAAGCTTGTATGTCTCTGCAATGGGAGGTGTAAAGCACTGACAAACTTGGGAGCCACACTGTGTCACTATGAATGTGTGTCATAGACTGTTGTATGTCAGGCTACATGCACAATGCTCTGTGTAGATATGTGTGTGCGTGACGGCTGGAGAAAGTGTGGCTGGATGTGTGGGTGATTGTATGCATGGTATGTGTCTACCAATGTAAATGCGTAGTGTGGTGCGGTGCGTATGATTATCCTAACAAGCTAAGGTGAGCTTGGGCATCTAGGTGTATGATATAAATGAGTGATCAGGTTCCTCATTGCATCCCAAGTTAGATTCACCCATAAGCTGTGACAAGTTCAGAAAAAGTCAGCCAAACGCATTCAACCCCAGCACAGCTTTTATGTATTTTAAAGGAACACTGACATTGTCAGAAAGGGGACATACAATAGTGTTTCATCTGACAAAAATGTCACCGTGCTGCTTATATTACAGTTAGTATTTCTATTATCTGTGTCCTTTAACAAGAGACCTGTACTAGGGCCTAGAATTTTCAGGGCACGCCAAGGTTTGTGGTAGCAAATGTGAAGGAACGTTCATCCGTTTTTAAGACTTTGTACATTCTGGATAAACTGTATACGCTCCATAGTGGGCTCTTCTGATCTGGAGTGAAAAAAAATTGCGACTTTGCTGGGTTTTCTTGCCCTGGACATTGGTACAGGAGGACCATCAAGATGTCTGTGGAGAGAAGACTGAAGGACTTGGAGGACATGGTCCTTAAAGGCCCCCATGGGTCTGGATATCAATCGTTAAGCGTGGAAACTCTTTTAGACGTCCTCATCTGCTTGTGTCAAGAATGCAGTGTAGCACCTCTCCGTCGGGACAAGAACGTGTCAGAATTCCTGGCCTGGGGTAAGAACATGCAAATTTATTTCTCATTATTCATTGTGTGATATGTTTGGCATTGGCGCATACTATGTGGCTAATGTCAGACTTTTGAGTGAGGTCAATTTCATCCAGAAACCTTTTGTTTAGTTGTAAAATATATTCTGGCTGTTTAGAGCTGTTTGTTGTCTTTTTTTAATATAGTGACTCAGTCTGAAAACTATTCATTTGGGCCCAGCAATGAGAGTTACATTTTTAAATGCTGACTGGTTTAAGGCCCCATTCACACCAAAAGGTACTCGCTGGTCCTAGGAGGGTCCATTGACCTGCGATTGTACCTTCTGATTCATGTGCGTTCCATTCGCCATTTTTTCTTTCTTTTTGGACAAGCTTTATGTGAAGAAATTAGGGCTGTGGAAATTAAAGATTAATTTCTCGATTAATCGTTAAACTTTTTGATTAAAATAATTTTGATCGCTAATGAAAACACTCACCTCTCCGCCGGCTTCCCGGAGTCCCGTCGGCGATCCGGTGACGTCACGGACATCGACGTCACCAGACTCCTTCCCCAAGTGGCTCTGTCGGCTAACGAAGGGAAGGGGGGAGGAGTCCGGTGACGGCTAACGAAGGGAAGGGGGAGGAGTCTGGTGACGACGATGTCCGTGACGTCACCTGACTCCTCCCCCCTTCGTTAGCCAACGGAGCCACTTGGGCCGGTGAGTTTGTCCAAGAAACTTTCTACACGACCACCAGCCAAGGCATTGGCCTATACACATACAGCACAGAAATGAAGTAATAAAATGAACTCGGATCACACTAATCCAGCAAGTTATTTTTTCTGAGTTGCCCCACTCAAGCGGCTGCCATATTGAGTGGGGCACGTGAGATTAATAACGTGCTGGATTTGTGTGATCCTAGTTAATTTTATTACTTCATTGCTGTGCTGTATGTGTATAGGACAATGTAGTTGGATCTGCATGTGTGCGTTATAATTAATCGAAAGTAATCGATTTTAAAAAAAAAATTAATCGAACATGAAAATTTTAATCATTACCAGCCCTAGAAGAAATATGTCGAGTGGATATACGTCACTGTAAAGCCTGTTGTGATGACAGAAGTAGAGCATGCTCTACAATTTCAGTGCAACGGACGTCAACACAATGCAACGCATCAGTTTGAACTGTCCCATTCACACCCATACATTTTTCGGATCCGGTGTGAATGGGCCTTAAAGGGTTTGTCCACCCAAAGCTAATCTTTTGGATATGGACAGATAATGGGTGGTTAAAACATGCATTGGCTTCTGGAAACTTTTCGGAGTCTTTAGTGAGGAGGTCTTCCTACTGATGTTCCTGGCTCTTCATAGACAAGAGTCCTCAAACTGCAGTATATTTTATGTAGAATCCAGCAGGGGAGAATGAAGCCCCCCTCCTAATTGATATAGTAGGTGGCTGGGGCTTGGTACTTAGCTGCAGGGAACCTTCCACCAAAGTGCCCAAAGAGATATATAAAAATGTCGGGGATTCAATCTACCAGACTCAAAGTTCCACTTTCGGCTACGCTGGGACTTTAAAGCTAGGTTCACACCTAGGCCATTGCTTTGGTGAGCTGTTTTCGCGCAATTTTGCTTGAAAACCGCGTGGTTGTCAATGCATAGAGATGTCTATGGGACCCAAACCGCACAACAAATACCCAAAAACAGCTGCTGCATCTTTTTGCGCGACAGGCGATTTCAGCCGTGCAACACAATGGTATAAACAGGCTCCATTGACTTTGATGGGAATCTGTGTTTTGTGCGATATCGGGCGGCTAAATCGTCTAGGTGTGAACCTAACCTAAAGTGTTTCTGTGTTGTGCAACTGTACGGCAAATCAATAGATTCAGTCTGATGCCCTCCTCCCAGCTGCACATTCTTATTTGTTGTTTTTGCACGTTACGATTCAGTAACTGGTAGCAAAGGAAGATGGGCCTGTGTAAGATCTGAGTCACTCACAGATTACACGGGGCTGAGGACTCATGTAACCGTGCTGAGCCAATCGGCAAGCACCAGCGCTATCATATGGAGCGACTTGACTTCAAAAGTGTTACATTCTATGCACTTGAAAACTTCCTGTCCTCCCAGACACAGCAAAAATCTGGTGAATATCTCCCATAAATAAGTGTCCCTTTTGGTAGATTTCCCCACCACTGATGTACCAGTGACAACTGTAAAACTCCCCCCTCACTTTCTCTCATGGCAACAATGGTTACCAGGAACATTTGTAAAGAAAGATCTCCCCAGTGGGGACACAAAAGCTGACAGAGGCTCTAACTACTTCCAACTCCTATTAAGATGTGGAGAAATGTTTTGGCTGCAGTTCTACTGGGAAAGTACGCATTGTAAGGATCCAATGTATACATGTCTTGTTATCCGTGTGAAAGCACTGGCAAAGCCTGCAGACATACAGATACTGATTTTCTGTGAGCTGGTAATAGCTTAGGTTTAGGCACGAAGCCCACATGACAGCGTTTCATTGGCAAATGCTTACTAAGAAACTGATCGTTGTCAAAATGCATGGCAGAGGGACATACTACTTTACCCATTCCCCAGAAGTCAGGGTTCTGGATGTGCTGTTAGAAGAAACATTCTAACAAACCAGGTGTGATTTTGCAGAGTAAAGTGCTTACTGTGCAGCACTATGCTTACCTTAAAGAAGAACTCTGGGGAAAATTATTAAAGTAGAACTATGGGGTCAGGGCTTTTTGCAGTGCAGGGTTAGCCCAGCTGCATGGGTTTTGCCCAGAGTTCTGCTTTAAAGTCTGTGCTCATATTGGTAAGATTTCCCTTCACTTCAGTCAGGACAAATACATCTTTCCATTGGAGACACAGACAGACAGCAACTAAACACTTTTTTTAGTAAATTGTGGAAAGGTTTAAATCTTTGTCAGAATAATAGTTCTAGTGTGTGGAGAGAAAAGCTACTGACATGTTTACATAAAGTTTAGAAATTAGGTTTTATTAGGAGTAATGTTTAATACATTCAACATGTTTCAGGGGCTTAGAAAGGTCCTCCCTTCATCAGGGTTTGAGAAAAGAAAGCAACATATACTGGACTTGTGATGTTTAGATTGTTCTCAAAAGAGTGGTGAAAGGATCTGCCCCAGATGCTGCTTCTACAGGTTGTTACAGCTGTGTTTTATCTTCCTGTTGCGGTGGCTACCACTCCCCTCAACCCCTGTCCTGTTGTCACAGGGATAGAAAGTGAGGTGTAAGCTCAACGGGTCAGGGATAACGATGAAAGACAGAGTATTTACTCTTCCCAAATCGATTGAAACTGAATTTTTATTATTATTACATTTTTTTATTGTTACAGTTTTAGGGTCCATTTTATCTGTTCATTGTGTTAATGTGCGGGGCAAAGCACCGTACATGGGTTCACACGTTACAGTGACATTTAATCTCAATGGTATCCCAATGTACGTTTTTATCCCATTATTATTATTATTAATAATAATATTTAT